ATTGTCCATCCTAACGTTTTGAGAACAGCTTGGCCTTGATGAGTCCTGGTTGAAATGAGCCCTGATGAGACCCAGAATCCATCTCAGGGGCTGTGCAAGTCCTCAGGAGCACCCCTGAGTCCCATCCTGTCCTGGGCACTCACACACATCAACTCCGTGCAGAGCACTGCAGCGCTTGAGGGAGCAGAGCTGCAGAAGGAACCCTTATCTTTGCTGGCCCTCCTGTCGGAACAGCCTTTCCTGTCTGCATTGTTCCCCTGTGTGACTGCACCTCCCGCCCCTTGCCAGCCAAGTTGTTTTCTGATCTGTCCATAGCCCCATGGTGCATGTGACCCATTGTTCATAGTATATGCTCAGACAGGGGCTGCACGGTGCTCCAGGGCTCTTGGCCATGCTGTAGTTTACTGTCTCAAAGTGGAGATTAAGCACTTTAAAACCCTTGCTGGCATGGGTGAAGGAAGCAAGCAGGATCACTGGCTCATACCTGCGTGGTTGTGTAGAAATGTGTGCTGGCTTCTATGAGGCGTAGTTTTGAGATGGGTTATGGAAAGCTGCTCCAAAATCCAGTGAATCATAAATAAAAATGTGTGATGGGTGGAAAACTAATCCTGCATCGTGCCTTGTAGGTGCTCAGTGGTGAGCAGATCCCACGCAGTCACCGAACATCTGGGAAGTCATCATGGCCAAAAAGAGCAACACCAGAGGGCAGCTCTGGAGCTGTATCTGGTTGTGCCTGGGCATGATGGCACATGCCCAGCAATGGGGTGGCCAGGAGCAATGGGCGCAGCGCAGTTGTGTAGTTTTGTATAGAACTCCATAGTCCTGTCTTCTCCTTTCAAAAGGATGACGCTGTGTACTGCAGTGTTCCCGGGTTTGGCTGGGAGGGTGTTGAGGTTAGTGCAGGCTCCTCAAGAACCAGCAATGGGTGAGGAGCAGTTACAGCCCTTAAACCCAACAGCAAAACTGCGGCACTAGGTTGTGCTGTATTTCCGAGTGGAAGAAGGATTTATACAGCTTATAAGATGATGTCTCAGACTGTGGAGTAATGCTAATGTGGTGGAGCTTATTACCTCTTCAGTAAGTGTAGAGTGACTTTAATGTGGTGTCTTTTTAATTAAAAACTTCTAAGAAGATCTTAGATCTGAGGTTTGCTAAATTCCCTTCAGTTCGGGGGAAGCGCTCCAGTGTGTGGCACTGAGAATTTGTTTTGTCTGAGACATTATTGCCTGTAATGAAGCTTGACCAACAGCCCGTATGAAACCCTGGTTTTGCCGTACGTATGAGGCTGCCAGAGCATTTTATCCAAGAGTATGTCTCAAGCACAGTCTGAAGTTTCTGTTCTGAGAGGCTCAACCCGTGAGGTTAATTGGTTAGTTGGATCCTTCACCTCTTGGTGAAACACCAGGTTTAAAAATGTGTTTTACAGAACGCTGCTCTCTGGGGATTGGGCTGAGGCTGCCGAAAGGCTGCACAGAGAAATGCCCATTGCGGCGCCGGCCGGGTCCCTGCTCCCACAGCGACCAGGCTGTGGCTGTTATCCCGTCTCCCAAGGAAAAACAGGCCACTGATGTCTTTTACCTTTTGATATATACGGGCCACTGCATTTTACCACCACCTCAGAAAGAGACATCAAGGGACTTCTCAGATTCTTTCTAGGAAGAAAAATAGGCAACTGCTGGAAACTGGGGGTTTGGCCATTGGTTAGATATAGCTTGTAGAAGAATCTTCCCATTTTCTCTATGTGTCACAAGTCTCTTGTTTTTTAATTTTTGTTTTCAATTAGATGAACTGTTTTAAGTCAGACTTTGATGTATGCTTGCACAAAACAAATTACTAAATAGAAAACTACAGTAAAACATTATGTTGTAAATTGAAAAGAAGGATGAGTGATGCCAGAGAGCAATTCACCATCCAGGAACAGAACAGTCTGTTACTGTTCTGCTTAGTGGCAGAGCTTCCCTTATAGCCACATACATATCAATAACCTAAAAGCAAAACTGGAAATCTCTGTTGTGATAAGTAAGCTTACAATAACAAAATGAATATTCAAAGTATAAATGAAATGTTTTCTTGTAAGCATCTGTAAGGAACTGTGTGCTGCTGGTCCAGAGTCTCTGGATAGAAACTCCCTGATCTCAGATGGAGGTTGGTGACACATCAGGATCCTGGGGGTCAGCGCCACGTGCTGTTTGTTCGTATCTACAGGGGGAAGCAATTCCTTCAGTGAACGTCAAGACCAGACTAAGTCCAGCTTGTTTATAAACAATACTACAGATAATGAGAAGGGTTTGGGTTAACTAAACAAGGAGAAGTCACTGGAAATTACAGTCCTGGTCTAATTATATTCAGAGGGAGAATTCTGAAGGTCTGTGTGTCTGCTTCTACTGCCGGAGGTCTTGGAGGAGAATAACACTGAGTAAGCGCAGGGAAAAAAAAGAAGCTTGCATTTGGTGTTCAGTGAGAATAATTGCTTTCAAGTAAGTTTGTAAAAATATTTTTTTTAACTGTTGAGATTGTTAACAGAGTCTGAACTCACGTTCTGCTGTCACATTAAGAAGATGGAGAATGTAGGTTAAAAACCATGGCAATTTCTAGAAAAGAGAAAAACTTTGGACTGTTGCATTAATTCCCAGTTCTGCACTGAGATTTAAACTAAAACTGGCACCTGAAGGTGAACCTGGCATGGGGGTGTCGTTGGTAATGAGGCACACGGCTCCTGCATGGAGCTGACTAACGCTGCTTCCCATTCAGAACAGAAACAACCCCGAGCCAGCATCCGCAGCAGCCTGTCAGCGTGATGGGCGTAAGAGCCCTTGAGCCACAGGAGCCCGTTTCTGCAGGTTTTGTTCCTCAGCGTTCCCAGGGGTTCCCCCGCAGAAAAGCGCAGTTTTGTTTCAGTAGCGGCATCTCCCCAGCTCCAGTCCTGTTCACTGAGAGAGCAAGATCAGGGGCACAGAGGCTCTCGCTGCCCTCGGGTCCGAGCATAGTAAATATGCGGGGTGCGATCATTGCTGCGGTGCTGGGCAGGTGTGGAACGGGCACAGCTCGTGCCGTTCCCCGGGCACCGGGGATGGTGACAGCCCCGGTGCCCACCCTGGGCTGTGCCATGTCCCGGGAGCGAGAGGAGCCGTCTGACAGCTTGGGAACGGGGATGCGCTGACAGGCACCATGGGTCGTTGTGCGGGTACCGCCGTTTGTGAGCAAGCAGCCTCCCACCGAGCGCACACAGCCCGGCAGACACAGGAGGGGGGTTTCACCTTCATCCTGCTCAGTGAGGAAGCTGTTCTCTCTTGCTGGTGTAGCTGGAGACGTTGCTGGGGTTACCCTTGCGGAAAGGACTGGGTACCATGTGTTTGTGAGCCGGCTGTTTCTGACGGAGGAGGGAGGTCCCTGAGGCTGGGGAATGGCTGTCACAGCCCCCTTTGCTCCCAGGCTGGCAGAGGCAGACGCAGAGTTGGCATCAGCACGGGCAGGGCTCCTGCTGCCCTCACCCACCCTCCCGGCACAGGGAGGGGATGCAGGGACAGACCCCCCGTGCACCCCGGCTCCGCAGGGCCGGGTCCTGGGGCAGGGAGGATGAGCAGAGCTTTTTGAGCGCCCCGGGCTGGTGATGCTCCGTCCCGTGTTCTGGCCGGACCCTGAGCTCCAGCAGCTGTGGTGAACCTCCCTGCACACACTTCTGCTGTCCTTATGGCAAGACTTTAACGAGTTACTCCTTCAGTTACACGAGTTAATTGTGTTTGTTAATGATCTTCAGCTTTAAGAAGAAAAATCCTGCATCCGCCTTAATGCCTTGCTGTGGCTACATAGGCAGCCCTTAGCCACGTGTTTGTGCACGTGAGGATTTAATTAAAACCTTAATAACTAAATAATCTCCACACAGTCTAGGCATGTGAGATAGCGCTGTGGGGACATTTTGGGAGTTCCTCAGTTGCCCACCACATTAATATCAAGTATTTTTTATGCTGGATAACAATACGCCAGCTTTGCTGGTGAGGCAGGTATAGAGGCTGGGGCGGGTGGAACAGCCAGCCCAGGAGCAGCGGGTTACTTGGAGCTGCTCGAGGAATGTCCTTTGGTCATGCCACAGCTGAGGGAGGCGCACAGCTCCAGAGACCAACTGAAGTATTCACATCAGGGTGCCTGAAGAGAGTTTCCTCAGTAGACGTGGCCCAGTTCGTTTCTCAGAGATGCCGAGCACAAAATGCTTTCACACTTAGCACCAGCAGTCACTTTGCTGGTGGCTGTCAGTACTGCAGGCACCAGTTCCTCCTGCAAGCAGGGGTGAGGGGCTGGGCCATGATGACACACAGTAAATGCCTCTCCTGGTGAACAAGTATCTCGGTGTGTCTGTGAGGCAGGGACAGCCTTAGCTGCAGTATGGCCACGGAGGCCAGTCTGTGCCAGACAACCTCACCTCGAGGGAGCTGGAGCCGTTTCGCCCCTCATGGACGCGGACGTTGACTCCCTGCTGTGTCCCACTGTGCTCTTGTCCTGCAGCTCCTATGCGCATTTTTAATGTAAAATTCTGCTCTTTCCTGTGAAAGGTAAAGAAGATGTCAAGGTCTTCCTGTTCCTATTCCAAATGAAATGGGCTCATGTCCTGTTAATCAAGGAGTATAGCTGCAGCATTTGTCATTTCCCTTTGAAGTAGTGGGTGGTTGATACCTGCCATTTCTCAAGAAACTGTATACCAGATTAAGGTGTATTTATAGAAATCTCTATTGCTAGTAACTTGGCTGAAGCCAAGTTTAGGCGTACCATTAGTAATGCATAATGAGATGGCCTAAGTGGAGTGAGATCTGGGAGGGGGAAGAAAAAGCTATTTGAGTTGGATAGCTTGAGGATGCTGTTTTACTATTAAAATTACGCTTCTGACCCCTGGCTCTGAAGTGATATAAAAATAAATCTTTCTATATTTCTCTTCTGCATTTAATCTTTTATATTAGACAAGATAAAGAATAAAATCTTTCTTTCTCCCTTGTCTCTTTCTGTTCTAGGTACAGGACCTATTTATGCTACAGATCCACTCCTCTATATGGCCCTCTTACTACTGCATCAGCTTGTACATTTGTTAGTAAACCACTGATCGACTGCTTCCTCCATTCCTCTGCAGCCAAGAACCTATTTAAACCTGAACAAACTCCTGACAAACAATACCTACGGTTTTAAAGATGGACAGAAAGAGACTGCAAGCAGCATGATCAGTTCTCTGTAGGGGATAAACATATTTTTGGGGATGTCACAGAAAATAAACCACTTAGAATAATGCATCTAGTTTCCAGACTCTCTGGTGTAAAGCCCTGCTCTGTGCATGGCACTTTTGATTTCTCTATTTTAATGTAATGTTTTTTCTTTTCTAAACCTTCCCTCTGACTCTTCATTTTGCACGAACTGTTGAGCAGTTGTTACAATATGTAAAGATGTTGGGTCAAAGCCTTTCCTAAAAAAGGAAATATTTTTAGTAGATTGTTGTGTTTAGGTTTTTTGGATTTCTTTTTTCTTTTTTTAATTAAATTATTTCTTTTGGAGACATTTTAATTAAAAAGGTACATCTTACCATAATTAATATTCACTGTCAATAATATTTATTTTTAAATGAAGATGATTGGAAACAAGGTAAGACATTTGTTTATAAACTGTATTGTATATTGCTGGATAACAGTTGAATAAAAAGATTTTGAAATAAAGTTTCTGCAGATGCATGTCCCCTTCCTTGTGCCTGGAGCTCCCTGAGGGCATCAGGGCTGTGTCCCTTCCCTGCCTTGGCTCAGGACAGGCAAGTGAGGAAAGGTGCATCACAAACCAATCTGAAGTGAAACCAGTTCTTTATTGCACCCCTCTACACTCTGCCAAACCCTGCCCACGCCAGTTGTCTCTGGGCTGTGAGTGCCAGATGTGGTCAGATGGACAGGGGCACGGTGCAGAGCACTCAAGGTTAAGTTGCTGTGGTTTTCCTCAGGCCTCCTGAAGAAAGGTGAATCAAGCCTTGAAAAAATAAAAGAGAAATGAATCAAGCCGGAGTGTTTTATTCCTTAGGGCTGGATCCAGTGTGTGGTTATAATGTGATATTCAGAATTACATAGTTGTCATTTGTGTTACAAAGTGAGATGTCCTCTACTGGGGAGAAAGGCTTATTTTACAGTAAATACAGGAGTTATTTTCCTGTTCCAGAATGCTTGGGGTTCAAGTGAGATAATGGGATAACTTGGTAAAGAAACATGACCTTCTTCAGCTGAATTTAGTTAAGTACTTTGAAATATTCTCTGCTACCTCTGATTCTTATCATTTGTGTAGCATTTCAGAAAGGGCCTTAATGTGCAAATGGTGAGGGGGCAGGTGCTGCACCAGCAGGACTCTGCTGGCAGAAGCTGTGGAGCAGAAGCAGGGCATGCCACTGCATCACCTCGTACCCAAGTTCTTTTCTAGGAGGAGCGCAGGAAAGGAATTGCCATTCCTCAGTCAGAATTTGCTTTTCTAGGACTGCCAGTAACAGTGAGGGACTTGTGCCTCTCACATCACACTGGGTGTCAACCAGAAGGCATCTGTCTTCCATACCTGCTACTACACTGTAGTAATAGAAGTCCTCTTGTGCTGAGGCAGACTCACCAAAGGCGTTAAAATCTTCGTAAGGATGTTCACCCCATAACGGCAGCTGTAGCATCCCCTGGATTGAGGAATAATCCATAATCATCCCACAAAAAGAGGAACTGCTCTTCATAAAGCTTGGGGAGGTGGTGGCTGCAAACCTGGAAGTGCATCAGAGGTGAGACACTGAAGAACCATGGTCCTTGGCTTCCGTGTGCTTGGGAGGGTGAGTCTTCAGTAACCTGAAAAGACAGGTGGAAAACAAGATTTCCATGTAGGACCGTGCGTGAATCAGCTCCAGCATTCATGTCTGGGAACAGGCTCAAGGGCAGCTACTCTAGCAGTGCTACACGTGGAGTTTGGAACGTCACCAGAGCTCTCATCCTTCGAGTCGTGAGAGTGAAACCCACCTGGGTTTGAACTGTGCCTCATCAGCTGCTGCCTTTCCCAAGGGCAGTGAATATTTCTCTGCGACTTGTCTTCCTCCTAAGGAAGGGAACCCAAACACATTTTTCCACAAGAAGAAAATCTGCCTGAATTTACCTAGAGAAAATGCTGATGTCTGAAGCACTGCAGTGTGTCTGTGGTTTACCTGCAGCCCTCCCCAGCATGGTCTCTTAGTAAACAGATCTCTTTCGCTCTGACACCTGTGTTTCATCACTTACAGAGTACATAATGTCTTGAATTGCATACAGAAACCAGGGAAGGAAATACATCATCCTGCACTTGTCCTTCCCTTGGTGCTGTAGCCTGTTACCTGCTCAGGGACGTGGCAGCAACTGGGACTTGTGTGTGCAGTGGCAGGAGCAGAATTATCAAGGTTTTTTAGACTTTCATCACATTAAAGGTGAAAAAAATACTAAATCTGCAACTAAAAATAACTTTTTTTCTTATCCTTTTTGAGATCAGAATTAAGTATACCACAGTAGGAATAACAGTTCTTACACTCTAATTCACTATAAAACCACACAACTACTAAACAATAATCTGAGGATTTGGTTAAAAAAAAACCAAACCTAACGAGCAATAGGCATCTTTTCCATCCAGGAAAGACCTGCACACATGCACACTCATTCCCAGCACACACAGGATAACTTCAGCAAGGGAGCAGCCATAACTTGGCTGTACCTTCACTTTGCTGTATTTCAGCCTTCAGAAACAGCAGAATGAGTTCACCAAGTTTTGGGTCCTAGTTTCCACATCTGGACCAGCATTTTTTGCAAAACACACAACGAGTGGTTGGCCCCATATTTGTGTAGTGCAGAGGAAATAACTGGCTAAAGAGGAGGCTGCAGCTCTTGGTACCCCAATTGGTCTTTACAAAGCACTTAAAGGAATGAGAAACATTTTGATGGAAAAAAAGTAGAGAATTTGGAGGCTTATTGCTTGTGAGTGCGTTAAGGACTTCTGCTAAAACATCTGTCCTTGAGAGTGCTAGCTCTTCTGAAAAGGGCAACTGCCTCTCTGCTGCTGATTGTATTTACAGAGGGCAAAGTGAGGTTTTGCTGTACCCTTAATGGACAGAGGCTAGTGGCAAATCTTGCTCTTTCATAAATCTCCGCATTCCTTGTGGTGTCTGCTGTCAGAATCAGTTAGGAGTAAATGCTCAGCCTGCAGAGGCAGGGGAAGGCAGCAAGTCTCCTGCAGTGCTGTGTGGAGCTGGGCAGAGAGTGCCATGGCTGGGGGCCCTGGGGACACAGCTCTTGCCCTGCATGGGGCCAGCACACCAGCAAAGCTGCAGCCCTGGGCTGGGAAGTGAGTGATGGCAGTTGGGGCCAGAGCTGAGACGTCTATAATATAGTCATAAGGAAACACACATTGTTCCTGAGAGAAAATCAATAGAACTTTGCACTTTCCCTTGTAATATTTCCAGCGTGTGCCATCAGCCACATTTGCTCACAGTTACACTGCTATAAATTTACTGCCTGCTACAAAAACAAATGGATTTACAGTGGTGTAACAGAGCCGGTGCTAAAGCCATGTACATGTGAAAATACACGGCACAAAAGTAGTTGTACGGCACTGGTGACCTTCAAAGTACCAAGACTCGGCAAGTAAAAAGCAAACTTACCTAGTTCCCTGTGTGCTCCCTGCAAGAGGACACGTGTGGTCCCCACAGCATCCCTGTGTGTGGCACAACGCCAGGGCCCCACTGAAGGGAAGGCGGGCGAGCAGCTTCTCGCTGTGATGGAGCACACAGGAGACTGTCTGACCATGGCAGTTTTCACTGCCTGCATAAACCATGCAGGAGCCTAGCCTCACTCAGAATTAGTGAGTAAATAATGTGTTCCCAAACTCTGTGTCAAAACTGGGTTGGTTAATGCACGAGCTGCCTCTGTTCCATTTGTTACTGCACAGTAAATTTCATGCTTAGCCAGAGGCTGGCAAAGTTAATTTATTCATTATCCCCAAACTTCGGGCAGTTACTATTCAAACTCCCCTAGTACATCTATTTAATAAGAAGAGAACAGAAAATTGATGGGATCAAAAATGTTAAAGTCTTAATTAATGCTTTTAGCAAAGACTGATTAGAGGGGGGTTGTTGTGAGAATATTAATTTGTAGCAAGGAGAACTAGGGCTGCAAGAAATGGGAGAGTGCTCAAATACCAACACACACAGATGCTGCTGGTGAATAACAAGTGCTCAGATGGCAAAACCTGCACCCGCTGCCTTGGGGATTCTGTGGTGCGCTGTCCTCTGGCAGCCTGGCAGTGCTGCAGGTCCCTGGGCAGCGAGGCAGAGCAAAGCTGGGCTGTGGCCATGCAGACAAGGAGGCTGGGCTTTGTTCACACAGGAACAGGTACAGTTACTCCACAGGAAAAGCAGCTGGCCCTAAATCAAAGGCAGCAAGATGAAAGCTGTGAGGGATGCTGCATCCCCCATCCTGCCCCAGAGCAGCGTCAGCCCATCCTCTGTGCACAGCCCCATGGTTTGACAGGGAAGGGGAAGAGCAGGGGAGGGTCTGTTGCTGTTTTTAGACCCTGTTTCTAAAGCCCAGCAATTTCTGCTGAGTGCAGATGGGTGTTACTGAAAATGGAGCCAGTGGGGAAGAAAGATCTACGGTTCAGCTCTGCAGCAACAACAATCCAGAGTGTAGCACTGAGCAGGATCGGGCTTCTAAGGATCCATGCGAGTGTCAATGAATGGACTGAAACCTCCTGTTTTTTCTCTGATGAATGACAGCCTTTTAATTACAGCAATTATGGACAGTCCAAGCAAATCAGTTACAGTAAGAATCTACTTGCACAGTGCTGCAGAGTTTGTTACTGGATTTCTCTATTTGTTGCCTATAGATGTGGCTTCCTGTTACTGTTAAAATGTTTCTTAAACCCCATCTGTAGTTTAATGCAAATTAAACGACCACTGTCTTAGTAACTCCAGAATGCTTACAGTTCAATTTTACTTCAATTTACTTTTCCAGTAAGATATTTTTGAATGGACTCTGAGGAAGATGGGGAAGGGACTGTGAAGGTATTTCAGGTTTTTTTCTATCCCATTACAAGATCTGCCAAACACTTTAATTCATCTCTATGTTATTACCCTTGAAACAGGAAGCAACAGGTAAGACTTCAGGAATGCTATCCAGGGTGAACAGATGACCACACAAAATGGTTTCTTATTTTTGGATTTTCTTGTCATTTTCCTTGAGAATCTGAAGCAATTGGGTTTTATTTTTTTTTCCCTAGAATAGGAATTCTTTATTACTAAATATTTTCCAGGCTTATAAGTTACTCTAACCCACTGAGTATCATGACTCATTTTGACTTTAGGGTGATCTACACATATCTAGGCAGGCGATGATATTTAGGCTGTCAGCTGAAGTCAGCTGTTTTGGCAAAAATTAGGATAGTTCTGATTTTAAAGTGCTGTGGGTTTTGTAATAGCTTTTAATGTCTTTGTTTGTTTTTAACAGACTGGTTCTGCATTCATAGTCTACGGCAAACATGAGATTTAGCTCGAATTACCCATGGCAGAGTCTCTTTTTAATGCATATGCTGTAATTTATTTACTTACTCTTTTGAACAGTTGTACTTTAGTGCTTCCAGAGTTGTCAGAATTGATCCAAGTGACTGATACCTGTCAGTATGTCATTAATCAACTGTCTCTGCAGTTTTAGAAACATGTCCAAATGTCTCCCATGGGGAGAGCTTCTGACTGCTGTGATGGGTGTGAGGAAGGCTGGTGTCAGCACTTCGACACCTGCCTTGGTTTGCCTCATCCTCCCCTCCCAAGAGCAGCACAGGGGGCTGCCATGACACAGATAGGAGCAGCCTGGCCAGACACCAGTGAAGGGGCTCGTAACTCAATTTCCCTGTGCGACTCATGTCCTCCCATGGCATCGGGCGGCCCTAGGCTGGGGGACAGTCTGTGCTCTGAGACAGACTCAGACCACCAGTCCTCAGGGCCCCGAGCAGCATCACTGACATGGTGGTGAGGGCTTTGTTTCTCTGCTTCCTGGGATCCCCTCGAAAGCCCTGACAGCAGACGCAGGGGCTGCAGCGCCATGCTCCCAGAACTGCGCCCAGTGCAGCTCTGGAATCCTCTTGCTCAGTGTCCCAGCACACGGCTCTGCCTCACACGCTCTGCTCCAGCAGGACACTGGGGACAAGGAGAAGCCACCCATCGGTTCCTGAAGGGACCCTCATGTGCCTCAGGATTCGAAAGCCTGCTTTCCCCAGTTAAGCTAATCTTGTGAGCGTCCAACAGGAATAAGGATGGTGTTGAAACACCCCACATTGTTCCACTGAACCTACATTGCTCTGAGCTGTGGAAAGCTGCAGTACCTCGTCAGGGTGCCTTGACACAACTAAGCCAAGTGCTGTGTGAGCACTGGGAATGTTGATAAACCTTTGTACAAGGACATGGTGCAAACATCTAAATTCAGGCCAGGGCAAGGAGTAACGGTACTGAGCAAGGATCTAGACCAAACCATGTCTGTCAGTGATACCTGTTACTCCGAGAGGAATGCCGGACTCAATAAAATCTGCAGGAAAAGCTAAACGCCAGCAAATCAAATGAGGTTACTAAAATGTACAGTCTGATTAAGGAAACATCAGTTACTTTATGACCTTTACCAAATACACTCATGTTTGTGATTCATTTATGGTAATGCAGTGGAAGACGGTAAAAATACAACCATTCAGTGCTACAAATAATGATAATAGTGTAATCCATTTACTCTCAACTCATATAATCTCAGCTTTATAGTATAGTGGTATAGAAGTCTCAAGTTAGTTAAACGCACAGCAAGGTGCTACTTGCAATCTTGGTTAAAATGAACCTCAGCTTATGGTTAAGTTGCTGGTTGAGCGAATGATTTTGTATCCAAGTGAGCGAGGTCCACTGAAGTGGGCAGCCAAATTCCTCATATAGTGAAATACTGTAATAATTAGTAAGGCTGGCATTTTGGCCTCCAGAGAAGTAAGGGTTTGATAAGACAGACGAGCAAAACTGTGTACGGACCTGTGCACTGACCCTGCTGTGGGTCTGCTGATGTGGCCGCCTTGCAGCATTTCAGCATGCAGGGAGTCAGGAGGATTGCTCGCCTTGTTGCTGCCAGCACTGGGGGCTCAAACCCAACCAAACAGCAGCTAACACCCACCAGGCACCTGCCAAACTGAACTGTAACACGATTTAATAAACCCAGCTTGCCGCTTGTCAAATGTGAGAAGCTGAACTTTCTGCAGACTTTTCTAGAACATAAAACCTCTTTATTAACCCAAGATTTAATTATATTAAAACCAGAGAAGTCTTATGCTACTTATGCCAGACTAAAGCATTTCACTAAAGCAAACCAGCTCAAATACAAATGTGCGGAGCTTTGCTGGATTCAGGAAGTGTTTGTCAACCTGGTCATAAATGTGCACGGAGAAGTCACCCAGATTCAGGCGCACCACCTGGGTAACCCTGACATTGCCAGTGCTGGGGTTTGGAGCAGAGCAACACCAGAGAGAGCACTGCTCGTGTGTGGGGCCCCAGACATGGCACGTGTTCACACACCGTGTTCCCCTTCAGTCAGCTGCTGCTGGTATTTACGGGGCTTGGGAAGGTTTGCTGTTTACAGCTGGGAATGTGAGTGCAAACTGGCGAGGGAGGAAGGGAGGCAGGGAGGCAGCCACAGGGATGCTTACCTGGATGTTGCACACCTCACCTGCCATGGTCTCTCGGGAGCAGGAGACAGAGGTGCTGCCATCATGCTGAAGCCATTTACTCTTAAGCAACACTTCACATTCCCAAAACAGCCAGACGGAGCTCAGGGAGACAGGTGAATAAGCAGGAGCAGCAGGATTTGCCACGCCTTGAAGTTTCCCTCTGCTATAAAACAAGCTTTTCTCAGTGGAGAAAAAGGGTATGTGGTTTTTCTTCTTCACATGCTAAACCATGTGAAGAAGCGAAATAAGGTGTTTTCCCCAGTAATGTCACTGATCATGATTTTCACCATGCATCCCTACCTAATTGGGGTGCGTGCTTATCAAGTGCTTAATTTGAGTGCTATCTAGCCTGAGGGTTTAAAGAAAAGCTTAACTCTGCCTGCAAAGTGGAGATCACTGATGTGACATCTGCCTACCAGCAGGCTGCAGGCAACCTCCTGCAGTGGGTGCACCGTCTGACTGCAGCTTAACTTCTGTCCACAGCCCTGCCTGTGTGGGCCCAGCAGTTACTCGATGGCCAAAAAGGCATGAAGGAGTCACAATGCAGAGTTTATTTCAGGAGAAAATACTTCAACAGCCCAGGTGACTGCCACGCATGCATTAAGAAAACCAGGACACAGCACACCAGATTTAGTTTAGCTACAGTAAAATAACTGTAGTAGTAGTGAAGCAATGCTGACCCCCAGCTACTAGATGCTGACACCTGGCTTTTGCTGCATAAGAGATCAGGTTTCTCTGGTTTGTTTCCTCCCTGTCTCTTTATATTTCAAGTATATAGCATAGATTTAGTATTCAGATGTTTAAGATAAACCCCCAACATTTTAGAGAAAGAAGCCCAGCAAGCACAATCCATGGGCTCATGAAATAGCAACTGCAAGTGGAAATGAGCCCCTGCAGTGCAACCCCTTCACTTTGTTATATTGCAATGTATTTTCTGATTTTTCATGAGCCTGGTTTGTGTGACCCTGCCAGTATCTAAATTGGTTGTTGAAGTTTCTCTGCTTTTGTCTTATTATAATGTAATTTATGGGATGCTGGAAGTCTGCAAGTTACTTGTACTTGACTGACATTTCTCTGAGAGTCAAAAAAAAGGCTGTGTGTACTTGACTGAGATTAAAATTGGTAGACTGCATCTAGCTGTATCCTGCTATCAAAGTGCAGGATTGGAAGACTTCCATTAAATTGTTATTTTCAGTTATTACTAGCTCCTAAATCAGTTCATATAATTTCTTTCCCATAATGAATGCACTGCATTGTAAGCCTAAATGCCATATTTTCTACTGATCTATTTCCACAACCTGTTTAGTGAAATAATTAAAATGATTTACAAGGCTGACCCAGTATCTCAGTGGTTTAGTAAATCATGTGCCTTGTGGGAGGCTCAGAGAGTTTTAAACCCACAGCTCCCAGCAGCAGCAGGACTCAGTGCTGCTGCAGCGCATCCTGGACTGCATCTTATGGTGCATACAAAGCCAGCCTCCAAAAGACTGTCTGCCAGTGCTCAGGTGGAACAAGGGCTCCAGTTGGTTTGTTCCTTCATCACCCCTGTTCAAAGCAGGAACACTTCTTGGCGCTACCAAGCTGGAGCAGAACTCGAGCTGCAGCCTACAGGTAACGTGTCTTCACTTGAACATCTTCAACTTGAACACCCCTGTTTTCCATCCTCAGAGTCGAGCCCACATTATCTGTGACGGTAGCAAAAGATGGCAGCAACTGTGGAGCTTAGTATTTTTGCATGCAATACAATGTGGGAAATGATTCTTTCTATCTTCTTCTGGTTAGTTTAAGTCATAAGAGGACAACTGTAAACACAATCTCTATTTAAAGGCCAGGGTTATGGAAGGGCTCTGTAGCATTCAGCAGTGTCAGAACAGACATACACCAAGGTATGCCCCAAAGTCTCTTTGAATCTCCCAGGTTTCTTTCTAGCTCACCTCCTGGTCTTACACAAACAGAAGCCCTCGGAGCAGGGTCAGACAGACACTACAGCAATGCCTGGGAGGAGACACAGCAGCCAGTCCCTGTAGCAAGAGTGGGAAGAGCAAACACTATTTAAAGTGCTAGTGTGAAAAGCTGCCAGTAATGCTCTTTTCCATGAAAAATGTGCATTTTGACAGCTGCGGTCTGGAACAAAAGGTATTGAGCTGACTTCTGTGCGATGAGGGCAATGGCTACGAAGCAGAGTACAGCCAGGGTCAGCCCCACCAGCCCCGCAGGGAGGACACCCCTGGGGACACACAGCGGGCAAGGAGGTCACAGACCTCCATCCACAGGAAGGACAGAGCCCATCACTCTAAAATCCATCAGCATCTGAGACACTATTTATAATGCCTCCACTTACAACCCCCGAGCAAGGCTCAACCTTGCTTTCAGCATCTGCTGCATTTTTTATAGTTCTATTCTTTTGCATAATTATACAAAGAGAAGAAAAACATCCTATAAAAACTTAAATATTTGCAGACAGTTGCTGGACGCACTTTGCTGCGGATGTTATTATCCTCCTTCCCCGACACTAACCTACCACCATCTCTGCTTTGATTCAAATGGGCCTGTAATTTCACAATATGAATTCAGCTGGAACTACTATTTTTCTTAAGTGAACTTTGCCAGAGCAGCGACTGCTCCAGGCTCTGAAAAGGAACACATCTTGTGAATGTTCCAAAGCATGTGTCTGAAATTCAAAACAAGTGTTGGTAAATGGGCTGTAATCACACTGAAGGGCAAGCAAGTATTCCTCCTCTAAGGCAGAAAACAACAAAGGGAAATCCGCTTTGCTTCTGCTGCCTCAATGCTGATAATTTACAGATCAGAAGACTTCTTTAGAAAGAAGCCTGCTGTGCTGCAGTGTGTGTTTCAGAGCTGAAATACCTATAGTCATGCCTTTAATGCCACATCTGAGGTGTAAATCAGAGCCTTACCTCTACAAGCACCATGCACCCAGCAGGAGCTCATGCTGCCTGCAGCAGAGGGTCTGTGTGGAGGCACACACCAGCAGCAAGCCCTGACGACCCCAGAGTCACCATGGCACAGCGTGCTGTGTTAACAGCATCCATCCTCCAACACAGGCAGCTGCATGTACGAGAGCCTGGCGGCCGTGACCCATACGACTGAAACTGGACACAAGGGTCAAAAAATTACCTCAGAGAGGGACTGTAACACACAAACATGCTCTGCTCGTGTGCACAGTGGGTAACAGTCCCCTCACTGCCTCCCACATCAGGCAAAAGTCCTTCACTTTGGTGTCTGTCTGGCCTCAGAATCAATTTTCTGCAGAACATGAGAGCCACAAACCAGGCACGGGGCAGCTCTGTCAGGGGTAGGTGCCACATCACTGACAGGGTCCTGAGCAGAGACTTGCTCACTGTGCCAGCCCAGACAGCACACAAGGTTCTGTTAGTGCTTCTGTGCCAAATGGTCCTCCCCTGCACCTCCCCTGTGCCCCCACCAAAGCCCCTTTGAGTTTACTGTAGTCTCAAATAAGCACTGTAGGTAAAACCCACCACTGCAGCACTCCTAATTTCACACTCAGGTAACTCTTAGAAATCCCTTTAACCCACACCAACACCGAGCGACTCAAGCCATTTGCTAACTAGGGCTCTGTACTAACTGAGCTGTGGCAAAGCAGAGGATCCCCTGGCAGCTGCCTGCAAATGTGGTTCAGGCCAGTTTTAAATCTGTGACCAGTTAATTCTGTTTAGAGGATCTGCTTTTCTCTCTCCCTCATTCTCACCCACTATTCAGTTTTTAAGAAGGTGCTTAATACCACTTGAACTCATCACTGGCAGGATGAAAGCTCCTCCTTCTCCTTCCCCTGATGTTTTGTCCCACTGTAAAATACATAAATTAATTTTATGCTAAAATTAACATATATTGCTGAGGCAAATGAACTGGCATCTCCATGTATACCTATTAGCTTCCAGCATTTCCTGAGAGGGGCTTTATTTAATTACCAGCCTGAGAGGCTAGCTCACTCCAGAACTGCAGCCGCATTTATTAGTTATCTCCTTGGACACCTGCCTCTCTGCTGTTTATCAGATTTCCACTGGAGATGGATAAAATATTTTCTACTGCACCAGATTATTGTTTCTTTAAAAGGTACTTACTAGAGCACTGACCTCAAACAGGGTTTTTCTGCTTGGCTTTGGATGGGTTGGGCTTTTTTATGCAATTATCAAAGCAATCCAGCAGCATTAAGCCCCTCATGGCCCCACCACATACTGGCAGCTCAGAAGAAATCACAGTATGGAAAGGGAGCTGAAAGCCTGAACACCCTGCACAGAAAGACCCTGCCTGCAGTGGCAGCCAACCTCAGGTGCTGTGACTTCTTTTCATCCTCCCATGTATGAAAATATCAAGTGGCAAAGCCGAGAGACTCCCGAGCACATGGCTCAGTGCCCTTCACTGCAGTCCAGCCAGAGGGATCTGCCCAAATTGCTCATGATGGTTTGGACCACGCTTTACATGACAATGATGCCTCTATAACTGGTTGATAAAAAACTAATGTAGACACAATTATAAAATGCTGCCTACATGCATTACCAACATAGTCACAGCCAGTGTTATGGGTGCTAAGAAACCTAAGCGACCAAGGAGGGTAAAGCAGCTCTCAGCTCCTCTGCAGGACAATGCTAGTCAGGTGTAGACTGTAGCCATGGGTCTCCTTCAGCCCAGCTTCAACAGAGTTTCCACTTGTTTTCCTCTGGGTTGCACTCCTGAATTTGTAGAGACACACATTTAAACCAGCGTGACCTGATGCTTCAGGGTGCCTCAGCAGACAAGGCCTTTATGTGTATGCACTCAGCAACACATCTCTTTGGAGATGCACGAGCTGACTCCTGCTGAAGAGAATGGTTCAGTCCTGATAGCCTACGCATGTTACTGAGAAAGAGTGTGGCAGGAACAGGGTCATGCTGATAGCGATGCCTCTGAGAAAGGTGACTCATTACAGAGGAAAAATGAGAAAGTGTATTTGTTTAATTAATGAACCTTTTCAACTTTCTTGGGATTTCACCCCAGTTTGTAACTCCAGGCATGTTTGGCATGAAGCACCGGCTGGCTGCGAGCTGTGCAGGAGGCAGCAGAGCTGCAGACACTGCTCCCCCATGAGTGAGAGCCCCTTAGCCAGAGCGTGCCGCGTCCCCAGCTCTTCAGCACCTGCTGGGAATGGAGCAAAAGATGCTGTAGTGAAACATACGCTGTTTTAACAGGAGCCTTGTGCAAAACGTGCCTCTTCTCTCCTGCCACCTCAGTCGTAGTCAGCACCACTTCACCTCACACCGGAGCCCCAAAGTGGAGATACACACAAACACCTTGTTTATGTTATGTTGATGTCCAAGATAACTGGGGTTTGAACCCAAAAGCTCTTGATTTGTATTATTTTTAAATGTTAATGAATTATGCTAACTGTATGTAGTTTAACCAAAACCAAATGAAATACATTCTACAGGCTGGTCTGCTGTAACTCCAGTGACTATTATTACTCCATAATTTATCATTTTTAATACTCATTTTGCATCACACATGACTACCACTAGTCAATGCTAATTTTGTTTTAAAATGAAATATTCAACAAGATCTAAATGTGATTCAAAGCACAGCAACAGTAATGGCTGGGAGACAGACTGATGGAATAATACATGAATGCAGAACATTGCTATTAATTAGTAAATACAAGCTGTTCAGGAAAGCAGCAGTGGATGTTGCCCTGAGGTGGGTTTGGATCATATGTGATCTCAGCATGCTGGGGAACCAAATGTCTGCTGCCAAAGCCTCAGCTTATGGACTCCCCATTACTGTTTTACAGAGAACGTGGTGGTTTTTTACTGTTGCTCTGCATGGCAAAGCTGGGCAACTCTAGTTTGCAGCAGTTATCTCCAGGTATTCCAGGGTCCCTCATATTTTTAATATTTAAAGATGGACTTAGCTTCTTATTTTGATGTAAGGCTATACTGGTATTTAGAAGAGTGCCCTCCTAAACTCGTGGGGAAATTGAATTCCTTCAAAATCCTCTTTCCACTGATAATTGTACCGTGATGCAGAAGAACTGGAACTGGATACCTGTATGCAAAAAAAAAAAGCTGCAAAGAAGCAAATTTCTTCCAAAACAGGAAACCATTTTAAAGCTTTTTTAATTATTATTTTTAGACTTGAAGCAGGCAGGAACAGGTAGAGAGAACACATACAGGAGCCTGCGGCTGCGACCCCGGTCTCGGGCTGCCCTCTAGTGAGATCAGCCTCCGCGATGGGTGCTGCAGCCAGCCTCCCAAAACAGCTCCCTTCTTTTGTTTTTGTTTTAAACCCCAGCTTTTAAATCCTTGACATTTTCTGGAAGCATTTTGGGATTACTATTTGCGTTCTGATTTCTGTGCCACTAGGATATATTTGGACTGGGTTTCCAGGCACTTTCTGTTTTCCTTGCACACAGAAAAGCCAGTCTCTTATTTACCCTGAGGTAGTACCTGCAATCTGAGGTAACAGGAGCCAGGACTCTAAGGATAAAAATGAACCTTACGATGCAAAGCACAGTTAGTCAGCTGAGGGGTAAGACGACACACGGGATGGACAACTGGAGACACCCATCTCATCCTAACCCATGAGTTATACATGAGCTGAAAAAAGCAGAAAAACTTACAGGAAAATAAATGGAAAAGAAACACTCAAGGAAAACAGGGTACATCAAAAGATGATGCTCATTAATGAAACACAGCCATCTAAAAGCAGTCAGCCAAGCCCATAATGCAAGAGTCTGGGTTTCCACACACAGCACCTCCAAACTTCCCTCTAGCAAACCTACACTGACATGAAAACTCAGGCTACTAATACCAATACTCCATCTACCCGCCTTGCTAAGTGGCAGCTCTGCCCCATGACCCTTTCCTAGACCGGTTTCTGCAGGGAGCCGCAAGTCCCAGATCCCTGGAAGTGCATGCACGGCACATGGCACACCAGCACTGCCCAGGTGCTGCACAGCGAAGCCAGGGGAAACTGGGGCGTGCAGGGTACCGGCAGCCACAGGGCCCAGGAAACATGGGCACAGAGCACCCAGGCCAAAAGATGTCAGCACAGGGAGGAAAAGGCAAAAGCGATGGTGAGATGCAGGCAGGAGGTGGAGGGATGGCCATGGGACCCATGCAGGCTGGATGCATGTGGGAAATTGGCTGGCAGTTGTATTAGCAGCTGGATATTTGGATAGAGGGAATCAGTTCAGAAGAGCTTAAATGGAAATTACTTTCACCAGTACAGATATCTCTAAGGACCACATTTAGCTGCTAATAAAATGTGGCCAAGAGGAATAAATCATATTGATCTTGAGAGCTCACATGCTTGCTGAGACAGTCCTTCTAGAGAAGGATGGTATTCTCGTACCAGTGACAATCTGCAAAGGTTAACTGTGATTATAGCCCAGTCACTTTTTACACACACCACTTCACTTCTCATACTTCTGCTCATCTCTCTTCAGCTCACAATGACTCTTTGTAAAAAAATCACTGGTCTTCTATTCTTGTGTCACACAAATATCCTTAATTGTGGTTTTATTATCTTTAATTATCTTTGCTTAGTCTGCATCTTGCCTCTTAGTTCTCTGTGAGCGCCAACATAGAGCTCTTTCTGTGACTGCTCCCCCACTGGCGCGCACAGGGCGCTCTCCCATCGCAGCCCTTCAGCAGGACTTCGGTGCAGCAACACTGCCCCCTAGTGCTCACGGTCAGATCACCTAGCGCTGGGCTTGTGCGCGGTTCGGGGTTTCAGATTGGTTTTTAGAAAGCAATAAATAAAGCCATACACAGACTTAGCAGACTCAGATATGCCAGTGTTGGCACCTGTAACTTGGTATTAATAATATATATTAGGGATTTACATCACTATAAACCTATTCCAAGCTGATTTACTTGAAGTAAAAAGCTTGAGAAGTCTGAGGCACTAAGACATGCAGAGCAGTTGATGACGCACATTTGGAAACACGCATTATAATTATTTTGTTTGAATATTTCCACTTCAGTTTCTATTCACATTTTGCCCATCTCTCCTCATTTCTGAGCCTTCTTTTTCTTATTTACAAATTGTCTTTGCCTATTCAGTGGTTTCTCAGTTTCTTCACTTACCCTTTTTCACATTTATTTGATGGGACTCTCAACTCCTGACACAGAACCTTCTTTCTGGGACACACACTTAATGCACTCACCTCACTCCCTCAGACATTATATCCGAAGATAAATAGAGAAATGAAGACGTAGAGCTGTTGGAAGAGACTGGTTTCCCCAGGCACTAGTTTAGCCTGGATCACTGGATTTACAACACCAGCATCGCCACCACTGATTTGACTATTAATCCCTGAAGTGCCCTAGGAATTGCAGCATAAATCCAGTGAAGGAGCACTCATATGGCCCTAAAGACCCATAGCACTTATCCTGGTACTCCATTCATGAAAATTGATGTTTTTTTAGTAGCAATGACAACTCAAGGAGTCCACGCTTTGTAAAACCAAGCAATCTGCTTGCTGTAGCATATACTTAACTGCCAGGAGGTCTGTGATACAAACCAGCTGGTGCTCACACTTAATACCCTGCAGAGACTGGCCCTTTCTTTACACACATGCAGAGATCCACAATTTCACTCCCTGTTAGGGATCACTTTATTGCCTTCGTGCTTCACAGCAGCACTTAAAAACCCACCATTTCCTATATCCTGCCTGAGTAACTTGTTCCCTAAGTATTCTTCACCAAGCAGTGATAATTACCCGCTAAGCCAATATGCCTCCATGACATGCATATAGAATCACAGAATCATAGAATCCTTAGGGTTGGAAAGGACCTTAAGATCACCCATGCCATGGCCAGGGACAACTTACGCTAAACCATATCACCCAAGGCCTCGTCCAACCTGGTCTTGAACACTGCCAGGGATGGAGCATTCACAATTTCCCTGGGCAACCCATTCCAGTGCCTCACCACCCTAACAGGAAAGAATTTCCTTCTTATATCCAATCTAAACTTCCCCTGTTTAAGTTTTAACCCGTTACCCCTGTCCTGTCACTACAGTCCCTAATGAAGAGTCCCCCCACAGCATCCCTATAGGCCCCCTTCAGATACTGGAAGGCTGCTATGAGGTCTTCACTCAGCCTTCTCTCCAGGCTGAACAGCCCCAACTTTCTCAGCCTGTCTTCATACAGGAGGTGCTCCAGTCCCTGATCATCCTCGTGGCCTCCTCTGGACTTGTTCCAACAGTTCCATGTCCTTTTTATGTTGAGGACACCAGAACTGCACACAATGCTCCAGGTGAGGTCTCACGAGAGCAGAGCAGAGGGGCAGGATCACCTCCTTCGACCAAAAGGAGGTTACGCTCCTTTTGATGCAGCCCAGGATACGGTTGCTTTCTGGGCTGTGAGCGCACACTGAAGCCGGCTCATGTTCATTTTCTCATTGACCAACACCCCCAAGTCCTTCTCTGCAGGGCTGCTCTGAATCTCTTCTCTGCCCAACCTGTAGCTGTGCCTGGGATTGCTCCGACCCAGGTGTAGGACCTTGCACTTGGCATGGTTAAACTTCATGAGGTTGGCATATAAATCCCTTCTGTATTTGGAGAACCATCATGTATGAGCAGGTGGCAGCATGGGTTGGGACTAGGCTGGCAAGAAAAAGGAATTGGCTGCTCTGGTTTAAAGGTACCTCTATGTTGTACAGTGAGCAAGACTTTGACTTACCCCAGAAGGAAAGAGGCAGTGAGGTATCAGAGGTAGTAAACTCCACAGCCAGCAGCATCTCCCTGATTTTTTGACCTTTGTTGGTAGAAACATAAAGACAGATTTTAAACATAGATACAAATCAATACTCAAACAACAGACTTGTCTACTCCAACTGTATGCAACCCTACTGAAGTGGTAGGTGACTAGAGAAAATGAGGTGGCCTACGTTACAGAATATATGACTGGCAAGACTTTTAACAGAAGTAACTGAGTTATCTGGTGCCCAGCTTACTCTCCCAAGTCAGAGAATTTTTAGTATAAAAGAGATCAACAATAGATTTCAGTTTGTAAGACAATCTCTTTGACAGCTGAAAATTAATGTTAATTTTGCATCACAAACTCTACTGAAATAAACCTGTGACTTGAGTAATAATAGTAATGCTACTGTTTGGACATGTAACAAAAATTAAAGGTATTGAAAGTATCAAACTGACCCTATCTAGCTTAATCTAAATGGCTAATCTAACAATCTACACCGGCCACAGCTTCCCCCTTTGCAGAACCTCATGGCTGAGATAAGCAACGGCACTTCCCTGTTTTACATGTGGATTTTGGTCTCAGTGATGGTTTCCCTCTAAACCCGAGCTTAGCACAGCTTGTGATTTATGAGGGACACCTTGCTCCTGGGGACCCTGGTGCCAGCCGTTAAACAACCCAGAAACACGGCTGCTCGTGGGGGCTCCTCTTCCTGGGACACCTTAAACAGAGAAGCCTCTGAAATTTGAGGTTAAGGGTGGGATTTACTACCCGAACCAGCAGTGGAGATGCTACCAAGATGGTATTTATTCTGACATTCCATATACTACAAACTCTTTTAGCAAACAGAATGTAAGAGTTTCCTTCCCACCCCCCGTTTTTTGGCTCCTGTGCTCCCCCTTTCCGTTTGTCCCATGCGACTGTCAGACAGCAGGCAAGGCCAAGGGAGCAGCTGGGCTCACCATGCCCAGGGCCTCCCGTAGGGCCCACACAGCTCGCGAAGAGAGCCAAGGCTGGTGCGCTGTATGCCTGTCCGGGGCTGCGCTGTGAGGCGGGTCGGTTGTACCCCTGAGCTCAGCCGGTGCCGCAGCCGGGCAGCGATTCCTCGCAGGCCCGCTCCTGGCTCATGCAGCTCCGCGGGGCCCGGGAGCTCGGCACCTCCGGGCCCTGCTGCGAGGCGCGTTCAGCGCACACGGCGCACACAACGCACACGGCGCACACAACGCACACGGCGCACACAACGCACACGGCGCACACAACGCACACGGCGCACACGGCGCACACGGCGCACACAACGCACACGGCGCACACAACGCACACGGCGCACACAACGCACACGGCGCACACAACGCACACGGCGCACACAACGCACACGGCGCACACAACGCACACGGCGCACACAACGCACACGGCGCACACGGCGCACACAACGCACACGGCGCACACAACGCACACGGCGCACACAACGCACACGGCGCACACCACGCACACGGCGCACACAACGCACACAACGCACACAACGCACACGGCGCACACAACGCACACAACGCACACGGCGCACCCGCCCGGTGCGGTTCCGCCCACCCCCGCCCCGCGGCCCTCCGAGCAGCCGCGCGTCGCCTTCGTCACCGTCACCGTCACCACCCGCGCCGGAAGCGCCAGCCGCCGCCGCCGCGATGGAGGGTGAGTGCCGCTGGGGAGCGGGGCCGCGCGGAGGTGGGGAGCGGGGCCGCGCCTGACGCGCTGTCCCGCTCCGCCTGCAGTGCAGCTGTACCGACGCCTGCCGCCCCAGGAGACCAAGGATCTGCGCCTCCAGGTACCCCCGGCCGGACGCCCGGCGAGGTGTCCGGGAGCGGCGCGGGCTCTGCTCTTCGTGCACGCCGCCGTATAAAAACCCTGCTGGGAACCGAAGGTACCGGTTGTCCCCGCTGGGGGCCACGGCAGCCGTTCCCTTCCCAGACGCGTTAGTGACAGTGGCGGCGGGTAACGCGGCTGGTGTGAGCTGAGGTGCACGAGGGTGCAGCATGTGAGCGTTCTCCGGTAACTGTTGCTGTGCGTGGCACCGCGGTAGAACCGGCCAGCAGCAAGTTAGTAACATTCAATTAACATTTCGTATTTTAAAGTATCTTTTAAAATACCTTTAGCCTCAGAGCTCAGAAGAGGCCAAAGCATTTGTAAACGCCTTCCTGAAGCTTAGCATGCCAAAAAAGAAAGATCAAGCTATCCAGGACATGCTGACTCGGAAAGCCGTGGTTCTTGAGCATTATGCCAAGAAAAAGACGAAGCAAAAGGGGAAGAAAACCAAAGGTTTTACTGCCAAACAGAGGCGAGAAATGCATCTTTTTGAAATTGAACCCAAGCAGCAAAGGTAAGAGCTGAACTATTTTCTTCGTGTAATAGTACATCAGTTGTATGTAAAAGCAGCGGCACACACAAGTGAGTACTAGCCCTTCAGTATGTACAGTCAGTGTGACTTCTGTGCTGTCTCTGAAGCTGGTAAATTAATTCTCCACCTGGTCTCTCTCCTTTTACGTACCCAGCTATGAGATCAGACCCAAATACAATCACCCCTGATTTCAGGTTTTCATTAGAGTGCCTGTGACCAGAGAGCCAAAGCTCTGCAATAAGGTTCCTCAAACCACTGGCTAAAGCCCCAGCTGTTGTTAATGACAAATGGGGAAAGAACTGAGGAGAAATTTCAAACCTTAGATACAGCCTAATCCTCTAAAACACATCACCATTTTGGGTTGACAGCAAAGAGCATGGTTTGTGCTTTTTTATAAAGCAACTGTGTTGTTCAGAGCAGGCTATGAAAACAGATTACAAAACTTAACAAATGGTAGTCTTAAATCTGTTGTAAATATGGATTATTTCAGTAACAAGCCAAGAGAGGTTTTGATCATTAAGTTTGTGTGTAATACTTTTTTGTGTCTTTTACTACAGGTATGCCATCTTTCTACCACTACATCAACTCTGGAAACAGTATATCAGAGACCTGTGCCATGGCCTTAGACCAGAATCGTAAGTTGAAGTATTTGTGGGTGGGCATGTTTGGGTCTCAGTAGAAATTTCCAGGTTTACTGAACTACTGCTTGAAACATCACAGTTACTTGATAAGGTTATGTACTGTTTCTGTGAGGTTTACAAAACATGACTGTGACTACTAAAATCATGCTCAAAGCTAACTTTCCATATAACTTTCCCTCTTCTCTGATCCAACCCTCTTCTTCAAGGCAACCGTATATTGTGCAGGCCAAACTGCTCAAAGCTGATCTCCATGGAGCAATCATTACAGGTATTCCATTTGGTCTCTTTTACAAAATCATCTGGAGTTGATGAGTAGACACTCCTGTGTTTCAGATGCTTATTTTTAAATTTGTTCAGTGTCATCTACTCTAGAATCACATAGTTGAAATTCCCTGTGGAGGGATTCTTTCTCTACTTAGCAATGCTAATTACTTTTCAACTGCTCTTGAAAACCATGTTGTTAGCTGCAAACATTAACTGCAAATTTTACTACTGCTTACAGTAAAATGGCATTATTTCAGAATATTGTTAACCAGTTCTTAAAATCAGGGGTGGAAGAGAAAATAACGTGTCTGCATCTGAAATTTTCAAATACCTACATATTTCTGTTCTTTCAGTTGCAAAATCAAAATGCCCCTCTTATGTGGGGATAACAGGAATCGTTCTACAGGAATTTAAACGTGTGTTCAAAATTATCACCAAAGAGGACAAATTAAAAGGTATGTTAGATTTTTTTTCAGTGCTTTCCACAATTTGAATAATCAGAACTTTTTTAAACCCACTATTCCTCTTACACCTCCGAGTGCATTGTTTTGTATCAGTGTGTTTAGCTTTTTCCATAGAGTCCCAGAGGTCAATGTCTTTGACCACGCAACAACCCAATAGCTTACAAAAAATATCTCAGAATTGAGCGGTTCTTAAAAAGGTATTTTCGGTGAACACAACATGGTCATGCACAGGGCTCATTCATCTGCTTCACATTAGATATTCCTTGCAACACTGCATGCTCCTGAAAGAGGACTAACTTTACTAATTCCAGTTTAAAAACTTAGAGGGTTTGGTTATTTTTTTCTTTTCTTGCTAAAGCATGAACTCCTTGAAACAGGGCAAACCTCAAGTCTGTGAACAATGTGAATAATATCCCTGGGTACTTCAGTTTATTTTCATAACAGGGATTTACATTAGTCTACTCTTGTTAATTTCTTTCCTTTTACTTTTCAGTTGTTCCCAAATTTAACAATGTATTTAGTTTTGAGATTGATGGATTCATTTCCTACATCTATGGAAACAAGTTCCAGCTTAGAGCAAGTGAGCGATCTGCAAAAAAATTCAAGTTCAGAGGATCTATTGACCTCTGACTTCATGGAAAATCAGAAGTATTACTAGAAAGGTCTCCTGGTTTCCTGCAGTTTAAAGACCAGGTTTTCTGGCAGACTGAAAATGGAATGGCTATGTGAAGTATTTCTAAAGCATTTCTGCTTAATGAAGAATGACTAGTGTTGGTTGTCTTTAAACCAGTCTCTCAGACTTTTGGAATTTGAATGGTTTATTATTTGTATATAACATTCTGCCTTTATTAAACTTTTATGATTAGTGTCAAATACCTGACTTATGTTTCAATTTATAATCATAAATTTGCACAATGAAAACTGTATCTTGTAACTGATGAATGTTACTGCTTTCTGTGTAAACTGGACTTTATCTACCTGTTAAATACTTACAGTGCAACTGCAGGTGCTGACAGCTCTCACAGTCATTGCTCCTGGGCCATCTTTAACATAGAATCATAGAATAGTTAGAGTTGGAAAGGACCTTAAGATCATCCAGCTCCAACCCCCCTGCCATGGGCAGGGACACCTCACACTAAACCATGCCACCCAAGGCTCTGTCCAGCCTGGCCTTGAACACTGCCAGGGATGGAGCATTCACAACTTCCCTGGGCAACCCATTCCAGTGCCTCACCACCCTCACAGTAAAGAATTTCCTCCTTATATCCAATCTAAACTTCCCCTGTTTAAGTTTTAACCCGTTACCCCTTGTCCTATCACTACAGTCTCTAATGAAGAGTCCCTCCCCAGCATCCCTATAGGGCCCCTTCAGTTACTGGAAGGCTGCTATGAGGTCTCCACGCAGCCTTCTCTTCTCCAGGCTGAACAGCCCCAGCTTCCTCAGCCTGTCTTCATACAGGAGGTGCTCCAGTCCCTGATCATCCTCGTGGTCTCCTCTGGACTTGTTCCAACAGTTCCATGTCCTTTTTATGTTGAGGACACCAGAACTGCACACAATGCTCCAGGTGAGGTCTCACCAGAGCAGAGCAGAGGGGCAGGATCACCTCCTTCGACCTGCTGGTCATGCTCCTTTTGATACAGCCCAGGATACGGTTGCTTTCTGGGCTGTGAGCGCACACTGAAGCCGGCTCATGTTCAGTTTCTCATCAACCAACACCCCCAAGTCCTTCTCTGCAGGGCTGCTCTGAATCTCTTCTCTGCCCAACCTGTAGCTGTGCCTGGGGTGGCCCTGACCCAGGTGTAGGACCTTGCACTTGGCATGGTTAAACTTCATAAGGTTGGCATCAGCCCACCTCACAACATCTTTGCCTGATATAAGTATGTGCAAGTAGGTTGTTTCAACTGATAGGTTTCACCTTGAATTTCTCCTTTGTGGTTAATATTGCTACAGATAATACAAGCAAGCATGCAGAGACATGTTTTCTAAGTAATAAAATGTTCTGGTCACCTTATTATTCCTGCTGCAGTTACTCACACTCTTCCACTGAATACCACTGGATGGCTAATTCCCAGCTCTAGTATTTACGATCCTCTCTCAGCACACACTAGTTTCCCTAATTAATCTCCCTTTGCCTCAACCAAGGGAGGCCTTACCTTAAGTGATCAAAGTACAAGGCTTCAACAGTCCACAACCTCTCCTTTTGGGCTCCAACAGATCCATCTTCTTCAGCCTACACATCATATGATGTTGCAGCAGCATCTGCAGGATAGAAGATCCCTAACAGCCAGTAGCAGCTATAACAGCCCAGTCTCCTGCACCACCACAGATTAGGCAAATGCCCAACTAGCCTCTAAAAACACCCAAACTCCAAAGCTCTCTTGATATGGAAAATACTTCAGTACCTTGAAAGACTAACCCCTATCAGCTGTGCCTCCCACCCCAGCTGTACTGCCTCCGCACCCAGGGTGAGCTCCTTAGCATGCAAAGCCTCCCTGAGTAAAGCACATTACAGAACAAATACTCATCCCCATTCATTCTGTTAGATAAAAACTGGATTGACAGAGCTTACAACATTCACCAAACCATGGTCCTACATACTGCGTCAAATTATTTGTTGACAATGGACAATTCCATGGAATTTCACAGAGGTTTGACTCATCTTTGTCTCACGCTCCCCTTCTTTAATTCTATCATTCCTATGGTAACTAACTCCAGTTCTGAGTCACCCTTCCCCACAGCCTGTGATGAAAATGTATGCTTCTGGTAAGGCAGTGTCCTGGGCTCAGCAGTAGCAGTCATTTTTCTCCTTCTTAGTAGCTGGTGCAGTGCTGTGCTTTTGACTTTCAGCCTGGGAACAGCGCTGATAACACCGATGGTTTTAGTTCTTGCTCAGTAATATTTAGTCTGACCAAGGACTTTCTGAGCCTCATGCTCTGCCAGGGAGATGGGGAAGCTAGGAGGAAGCAGACAGGACACCTGACCCAAACTGACCAAAGAGGTATTCCATACCACAGCACGTCATGCCCAGTATATAAACTGGGGGCAGTAACCCAGAAAGGCTAGATCACTCCTCAGGTCAGGCTAGGTATCGGTCGGCTGGTGGTGAGCAGTTATATTCTCTTCCCTTGTTATTTCCCTTATCATTATTATTATTGGTGGTAGCAGCAGTGGTTTGTGTCATACCTTAGTTACTGGACAGTTCTTGTCTCAACCTGTGGGAGTTACATTCTTTCCACTCTCCTCCCCATCCCTCTGGGAGCAGGGGGAGGAAGAAGGGGCACAGGGGGAGTAAGCTGCTCTGTGGTTCTGAGTTACCAGCTGGGCTTAAACCATGACACTAATCTTAAAATATACAAAAATATATAATAAGATAGAACAAAAACTATAATATTCATATAATAGTTTCTGGGAAGTATGATATTACCAGAAATGCCAAAGGACTTCAGCTTGACTTCACACATTTTAAAACAATAACCAAAATGGGATATAAATGCCAAAGTCCTCATATGCTTGTTAAAGGCAAAAGTTAAAACTTCAAAACCAAAACCTCGAGCATGACTGCACCCACTGGTCTGTCAGCCATGTGGCTCCAGAGCCCCATGACTGGGACAGAAGGTTTAGAAACATGCTTCTTGTGTATCTGACTCCAACACCAGGATAGGCCTCTAACTACCAGCTCCTTGGCCGCCCTCTAGTGTACATACGGTATCTGCCCCAAAACGACTCCACTTAACAGCACCGTTGTTCTGGGAGGGGAGGAAAAATAGGTTTATGCACTTCTTGTAAATGTTAAAATAACCCCATAAATCTGAATTATTTCTCAGAGAGAAACTGCCTGCAACGCTCTGCTCTGCATATTCTTCCTCTAAAAGTTTATTTCAAAATTACAGGCTCAGAAATGTTCAGCTGAATGGTTAGTTCTTCAGTGGCTGAGGTGCTCACAGAAGAATTTAAATTATGTAATAGCTATTGAACACCCCATTGTATGGCTGCCTAATTAATGTGAATGATAGTTATGTATCAGTCACAGAGGATTATTTTACACAGAGGAAAATCTACTCATTGCCACAGTAGCCATTTCAATAGTTTTTACAGGAGCAGTTGCATCATGGATTCATCGAGTAGAATGCAACTAGCCATCCTAAATAATGAAGATTGAAAGTTTTACAGTCCCAATAAAGAATCCTGCAGGTTTTTTATTTCAAAAATTAGAGTCTGATTGCAAGTGTATGATAGTAAGAGGGAAAAGAGCACTGGCACATGGAATCCTCCTGCAGCCCAGGCTCCTGGGGAGCCTCCACTTATTTCATGCAGAAGTATAGAAGAATAAGGACAGAAAAGAAAGAAAATAAGATCTTTAGTTTCCAAGCCTCTCCCTGTGGCAACATTTCAGTGAATACGGACATACTGGCTTGTACCTATTACACTCAGAAGGCTGACACTACTGAAACAGCTGCATACAGCTGATCAGATACACAGAAATACTCTAAAATACTGTGAAGAGCCCAGCCCCATTTGATGATGGGACACATAAGCCAGCCTTGCAAACTTCTCTCACAGCTGTAGCCTATTACAGAAACTCTTTTTTGTGAGGGAATCATCAAGGTACTTGACATTTCTGTTATGAGGCCCTATTTGCAAGGTTATATATCAGAGATTATAACAGCTATAAAAACTCAAATGAGATTTAAAACTTCACATTAACATTCTTTAAGCAAATCTTTGCAAAAGAAGATGAAAGTTTACTTTTTCTGCTTGTTATTTTAGGTCCCTATTGTTACAAAATTCTCAATCTAGATCCTTATACACTCCACATCACAGTATCAAGTAACCTCTTTTCTCAGCTGCATTTTCAGAATGGCAGTTCGGAGCTAGGATAACTTATTTGACATTTGTTTCTCAAAAAAACAAATTTCCAAGAAGGGGTTTTAAATCTTTAAGATTATTTAGAAAACCTAAGGCTTACCCACAGAACAGTAACATCTTCTGGTTTTGAACAATGACTTTTTTTAAAAAACAAAATGAGTTATTAATGAGAACAGATTGAGTAATCAAGTTCAATTAAGCATGTGCAGTATGTACTATAACAACATTCACTGTGTGGTGAAGTAATAAAGCAGGTTTATTTTCTTTAGACTTCTGGAAGTCTACCTCAGAAAACCGTTCATTCCTGCTTCTAGCCAGGCAGCACTTCCATGAAGATGTATCATGAATTTTAGCTACATTGCTGTGAAAGGGAAAACAAAATCCTACAGCTATTATCAGGAGACAGTATTAGCACCTACGTGGACATCAAGTTTTGCTGGTACAGTCCACGCTCTGATCAAGCATTGGTTTTGTATAGGAAGCCAAGCCACTTTGGGGACTACACACATCAGAGAATATTTCAAAGGACAGTTTTCTTCCCATGCAGCAGAATGGTGTGTAGCTTCAGGAAAACTCCACTAGTAACTTGTGTGTTGTACCTGAGGGTCAGGTATTTTAATTTATTATTGTTGTTGCTGCTGCTGGTTTAGTTGCAGCTAACATAAATCTCTAACAGAAATCACCTCACCTCCTTCTATGTCCAGAGCAATGCATTTTGCTTTGGTACCAGAAGATGGAGCCATATGCTCACAGTTTTAAAGTGATACCCCCCCCGCCCCCGTTCTCACAGAAGAACCACCCGTGAAGTAGACAGTGCCTACAAACTGCTCCCTTACCTTACACGAACTTGTCTTTCTACTGTGTCTATGTGTACTGCTGATCTGATGCATGCCTTACCCTATGTCAGCTGCCTTTCTCAGATGTTTCCATTCCAACTGAATTTTCCTTACTGCAACAGATTTTCCTAATTGCCTACTATGTTAAAATGAAATCAAGAAACAGAACCAAAC